ATACCTTGAATATAGAGATGAACAGTTTGTCAGCGCAACTCCTCATAAACCACTGCACAGAATTTCCTCAAACTTTGCAGGTATTTAGGACACAATGTGTAGATGTGCATATTACCAGGAAATTCCGATTCCATTATTTTTTCCAGGAATTTCGACACTTTTTAACTTAGGGATTTGGCCATACCTTGAATATAGAAATGAACAGTTGGTCAGCGAAACTCCTCATAAACCGCTGCACAGAATTTGGTCAAACTTTGCAGGTATTTAGGACACAATGTGTAGATGTGCATATTACCAGGAAATTCTGATTCCATTATTTTTCCAGGAATTTCCACACTTTCCAACTTAGACTTTTTGGCCATATTTAGAATATAGAGATGAACAGTTTGTCAGTACCACTCTTCTTAAACTGTTGTACATAGTTTATTTTATCCCAAAGAGTTTTGCCTATTATTCAAGTAAATTTCTCTCTCCCCTCCCCCCCCCCCCAACCACTTCAAATTAATGTTTGGATTTGTATAATGCCAGAGAAATTTTGATTCCATTATTTATCTAGAATCTTCATTCCACATTTAAATGTCCTCATATGTTAAGACATTTTGATGTGAAGATTTTTTTGCAATCATTGCCCTTTTTGATCTATACTATGTATTTAAAGTGCACTGTGCCTTTCATTATGTGCTTCACCTTCAAGTTTTTGGGGAGCGTGGGGTATGTGAGCTAGCTCACTTTTTCTTTCATTTGGAAATGTTATTTGTAAAATGTTGTCATAAACATGAAAAATTTGCAGAGAAAAGATGTTCAGAGGAAATTCGGGCTGAATATTTTCAAAATGGCTCCACTCTTTTTTCTGAATATATATTGGACCCATTGATTGTTTGTTGTCACATTTCATGTAAAACCTATGCATTTTTTGTTTCCATTACTCTGCATGTAGTAACATGTGACAAGGATTCATATTTCTCGTATCTTATTGTTATAGTCATGGACAATATCTAGGTGGCATTGTAAGGATGTACATTATGAAACATTAACTTTATTTCTTTTTATTTTACAAATGAAAGTTGTTCAGGTAATACATAGATCATAAAAATTGTGACATGTTCATTTTTATTTTATAGATCTTTTTTTTATTATTGAAATGTAAACGAGGATCAAGACTTTGAGAGAAGTTGTAAACATGAAAATTTTGCAGAAGAAAGCTGATCAGAGGAATTTCTGGCTAAATATTTTCAAAATGGCTTCATTCTTTTTCTGAAACTTGGACACAATAATTGATTGTTGTTTAAGTTCATGTAAAACCTATGCATTGATTATTTCCATTACTCTGCATATTGTAAAATTTGTGATAAAAATTCATATTCCTCATATTTCATTGTGTCGAATCATTGGACAATATAGATGGCTATGGAGGACATTTAATGAAACATTGACTTTTTTTTTATTTTACAAATAAATATTGTTCAGGTAATATATAGATTATAGAATATTGTACCATGTTCATTTTCCATTTAAGTTGTTTTTTTATTGTTTTATAAATGAAGACAAATTTAGAGCAGTCGTAAACATGAGAATTTTGCAGAGAAAAGCTGATCAGAGGAAATTCAGGTTAAATATTTTTAAAATGGCTCCACTCTTTTTTCTGAAATTTGGACCACTTAATTGATTGTTGTTATATTTTTTGAAAATAAATTGTTTTTTATGATTCCATTACTCTGTCTATGTTTTATAATTTGACTAAGATCCACAACTTATGTATTTTGGTTTAAAAAATTACGCGTCATAGGTGGCGCAGCAAGCACAGTTTATAAATTGTTAATTTTTTTAAAATTGTTTAAGTTTTAGAACAGATGTTCCATGTTTAATAAAAATTAGCATTTTAAAATTTTACATAATTTTGACCTCTTAAAGTTGGTGTGCGGACTATATTTTTAAGGAAAATATCACACAGAGTTACCTCCCTTAGTTTGGCAACCACTAGGAGGCAAACGGCCACACTCTTTTTCTTTTATATTATAGTCATGTATTGCTTATACATATGTGTATTCATTAATACCAAAATCATTTGTTTTCCATTACTTTGATTTCACACTCGTACTACCTTAAACATTAGAAATCATATGATATGTATGCTAAAGTATGTCACATTATCGAGCGATGGCGTATACGATGAGAAACCAATGCGTGTTTTGATGACAAGTTTGGCTTTCCAGAAAGCCTTAAATGTCATCTCTTTGGCTCCATCTGTGTCAAAGAATAAACAGTGGAAAGTAACATTTTTCTATTAAAGACAGAATATTTTTATCATTATTTTAGGGGAATGGTAATTAGATATTGAACATGAAAAGGGGTAAGCTTCAACCAAAAATCGTATGTTGTAGATGGGAAGGAAAGGTTTAAAGTTATTGATTTTTTTCTGAAAAACCATTTATTTGGAGAAGACATGGCTATACTAAAAGAAAAAGTATGGATAAGGGAGATGACTTGCAGTGAACATGCATTTACAGCAGTGAAAGGTTAAAGGGCCAGGCTGGGACTCGGATTTGAAGAAAATATATTTTTCTGAAATTTTATAAATAATATCACGATTCATGCTTAAGCATTTCACACTGAACTATATATAAGTCGTGTTTAGAAAACTCTTTTATATGGAAAATCTTAAAACTACTAGATTTTGGGACACGTTAGATTGAATCGTATTCTCATACTTTAGTATATGAAAGGATTATAATCTTCATATAGGCATGTATCTAACTTTGGAATAATTATATTTTTAAAAGAAAATTTGGATGTCAATTTAAAATAGTTAAACATAAAGGAAAGAATGAATTGGTCATTCATTTCACACATTCGTACTACATGTATTCAGATAGAATCAATGAGCAATTCATATTTTCTGGGATTTTTTTTTTAAATTACAATCACATAATATTATTATAACTAAAAGAATTTAAGATTCATTTGTATTTGTTAATTTATTTAAAACACATTCAAGATATTAACAACAGCTACCAGCCAAGTTCCACTTAGCGCAATACGATAGGTATCAGCTAAAATTCGCATTTAAGAACTATCTGGAAAAAATCCAAATTTGCAAACCCTGAATTTACGACTGTTTTAGGAATATATACCCTAATTTTGGCTTCATTTCAATAAATTAGAAAAGGTGATTTGATTACTTTTTTCGCTACTAATACAATTGAAAATTGTATAAAAATGATTGCAAGTTCTTTTATTATACCGGGGTATATGGTTAAAAAGAAAACTGTTAAAATTTAAGAAAATACTCGATAATCTTTGTGAGTTTAATTTCTTCCAATGCTCGTATTTTTTCAAATATATTCTTGTCTCTTCTTATCCCCATACATGTATTTTTTGTGAGAAATGATAAATTATAGAATGACCCTTACCATAAAAAGTTTTCGACATCAATTCATAACAGTTTATAGTACTAAATGTAAATGTATTAATTTCAATGTTGTTTTTCTGTTAATTCTTGAAACAAGCCTCAGCAGATCATTTGTGATTCAACGCGCTGACCTACATGTAGTTAGAATATTCCATCTGGTGCAGACCATAGATCATTTTTCGCAGTAGCCTACATGTAAACATGTAGATGATTAAATAAGTACATAAATTTTGAACACCATGCAAACAACCAGCAGGCGATATAGTGTGTCTGGCCCTCTGTGATTCCTTCAATGTTTGGATCGCTCATTGTTTACCGCTCTATATTTAGAAAATCGCATCATCAAAGTGACCACTCGGTGCTCCTCGGATATTTCTTGCCCCGCACGAGAGTAATCATCCGAGGCTTACCGATTTTTAATGGATGCTTACCCCTGGGACCCCACATCCGGAAATCAAACTTAAGTGTCATCTCTCGTGAGAGATGACAAAAATAACATGGTTGCCGGCCGGGCACCACAATTGATCGGACGGTGACTGGGCAATTTTGCGAATCGGTGGGGTCATCGGTTTGAAATAATTCGTAGTTGAAATTCAGCGATGTCTCAAACGATGCCTCACGTCGCTCCTCATCGTAAATGCCTAGGTCACATTTCCCGGCCGTTAGTTGCAGACCGTTGGTAATCAGTGGTTCCTGGGTTAGCAAAGCCCCAACATGCCTACTAATCTTTAGAGTATCAGTCACATTATCCAGTGATGGGTATGCATGGGAACCAATGCGTTTTATGATAAAAATGGCGTGGTTGTCGGCCGGACTTACAAAGGCCGAGCGATGCATTGCTGATCAAAAAACGATGTTCCAAGATAATCGGCCGATGATATTACATCGCTCATACATTGATAAACATCGTTCGTTCGTCGGTCGACTACGGGCCAATGTTTGGTCGAAAATCACGGTGATCGGCAGTTTTCTGTTGAACACCACTCAAATTCCCCGATGACATCTGATTCAACAGATATTGGACGATGCTCGGTCAACATCGGCCGATCCTTGAAAGATGTGTTAATGATGGGTTACCGATGAGGAGTGATGTGAGACATCGTTGGAGACATCGCTGAATTTTAACTACGAATTATTTCCTACCGATGACCCCACCATTTACAAATTTCCCAAAAGTCACCGTCCGATCACTTGTGGTGCCCGGCCGGCAATCATGCCATTTTTATCAAAAAACGCATCGGTTTCTCATCGTTTACCCCATCGCTGGATAATGTTACTGGTATTAAACCCATAAAAAAGACATCTTTCAAGGATAGGCCGTTGTATGGCCGAGCACCGCCCTAATATCCATGCAGTAATTGATGAAATGGGATCACCTGCTATTCTAAGTGTTATGTCGGGACTTCTAAATCTTCCATCACCGAAATATTGACAACGCCATGTTGAGTTTTCCTCCATTTTTGTCATGTTCTCAGATGGTATAACCAAAGAATACACCAGGTCAGATTCACAATGAAAGGTGTACCGAGGGTTCATATCAACGGAAACACAGCTGCCATTCTGTATCTGACCTACCGTTCCAACCCTTACGTTGTTTCGGAAGAAAGTAACAGCTTTTATTGTTTGTCCCTGTGGTAGAAACATTGAACATTTCCACGTGAACGTTTTTCCAAGTATTGCTGCCGGGTTGGAACTTGTTAAATTATACTGACCTGGAAAGTCATGATAAAATTAATATACAAATATCTATATCAAAATACACTTCTACTCTTTCCAATTTTAAAAGTAGCCCTTTTCTTGTACAATTTGAAATGAAGACGCAAAGATATCTTTAAATCGTGTTAACTCTCCTTTTTTCTATATCTGTTTACTATTAAAATATTTATTGTATTGAAGGAAAACCTACTTTAGGAGTACTGTATAATGTGAACTGTACAACAGCACATTCGAGAAGTGATGTCAATTAGGATATGGATACTTATAAAATCCAAGGAACTTTTAGAAAATTTGAAATCACAAAATTTTGGTGTAATCAATAACATCAAAACGTACAATTTGAAACACTTTTTACAACCATTTCCCACGATGCATTGAAGTCCAGACTTTCTGACTTTATAGACAGCTGCTTGTCCAATAAAAATGAAACTAGTTTATAAACTTACTTTGTCACTGGTCATTTGCAAAATTATTTTGTTAAAAGCATTCTGTTTGTACAAATTAAAGTTGATATAAAAAGGATCTTGAGTTTCTGGTTTATTATATACATGTATATGTAGTTTTTGGAACATGTCTTCCAACAATCTGTCGGAATTTCCATTGCGCCCGTGATTAACAGACCTATTTATGATTCGTATGAAGCAGAATTTATTCAAAAACCTCTACATGAGGAGAAGAAGAAAACATTTTGATATTATCGACAACGTATTATCAATCAAAAATACATGTTTTTACTTCCATTGATATGTCGACTCGATATATCACAGTAGGTTTGAAATTAGGAGATAACGAATAGTATTCAATAACAATGTCCTTAAAACAATACAAAATAAGTGCAGAGCAAACACGGACCTACAAAACATCAGAGGTAGGATCAGGTGCCATGAAGGAGTGAGCATCCCCTGGCGACCAGTCATATCCGCCGTGTGCCTCTTGTCATTAGCAGAAAAAATTAGGAAAAATCATTCGTCAATTGGATGTATAAATAATGGATTAAAATTAGTATGAAAAACGTCTGTCAGCATAAAAAAAAATCCACAGACTTACACATTTGATTCATAGGTAGGTTTCAAGGATGATATAATGACCTTTTCATCACATAAAACCTATACTGATTCAAATTCTGACCGATGTTTTTCATACTTATTGTTAGGCTATTTTTGTTACATTGTTACATTGAACTGTCTACCGGATTTTCCCGTTTCTCACCAATCATGACAAGGAGCACAAAGCGGGTGGGACAAGTCAGCAGGGGATGTTCACTCCTCCAGGGCATCTGATCCCATCTTTAATTTTTTAGGTCCGAGTTTGCTCTGCTCCAAATCTGTATTGTTTCATCTGACTTTTGAGATTGAATACTGTTTTTTAATCTACTTATATTATTGTATTTATTAGAAACTTATCGTCCAACAGATAATCTTACTCTAAAGTTCATGTGGTCTATATTTTTTATATAAAAATACTCTTATTAAAATTTGCAATTTTGAAGAAAATATGGTAAATGCACAATTGATATTGAGGAAGTCATATAAAAGATTAATAATTCTTATCTAATGGAATTCAAAGATTTCATAAAGCTTTACGTTTAAAAGCAATGCTAATAATGCACTCCTGAAGAGTAAAGAAAGTATTATGATTCCAAATTACCAGTAAGTATATCTGCATATAATTTACGTAGTCAATCAGTAACGAATATTTACCCTTAAACTGATCCATATTCATCGTTAAATAACTTTTTGAATTACAAATGCTTAACATTTGATCAAAACACAGGAGCCGTAAGAGTTAAATAACCATGCGAACCTAAATTATCTCGGGCACTTGTCTTCTTATTTCATAAAATTAGTATTAATTTTAGTATACCAATTTTTTTGTTTTTAATATTTGATTTTATTGATTCAAATTTAATTCTCAAATTTTCCTCAGATATTCAATATTCCCTCGACGTAACGCATTGACCAGATGGTTTTGATGTGACTTTTTTCTCCCTTAAAAAAGGCGAAAGTTTAATAAACCTGTTAGTTATGCCTTAGTATAAACACTGTGCGAGTAGTGCGGGGCAGGTTAATGAAAACAAGTTGATAATACAAGGGTACATACAATATTGTTGGAAGTCAAGTTTTGCAAATTTTACAAACGATACAATGACCTTAAATTGTTTTCAATGCAATCTATCGTAATAGGTTGAATATTGAGTAACAAATTTCATACAAATTTTAGGGTTATTATTTCTATTGAATTGATTACGTATTTCTCAATTATCTAATTATGGCAAACGGCACACGGTTGATGTTAAAACATATTATGGGCTTTTCCTGCTTACAACAAAAAGCGTCATCTATGCAGCTACTTAGTGTGTACTAATTAACGTGGTCAAAGGAAATTTTAACTGTTCCTACTTATCCATGTCGTCGGTAAGATAATTTTACAATACTTTGGATAACGTTTATTGCTCATACCAGTATACGAGTAGTGATATCCATATTATATGTTGTATATAACTGCTTCGTTTTAATTACACCAAGTTTTTCATCCGAAATTAACGTGTTTGTCCATTCCATACATAACCATTTTTTTTAAATACATGTGTCTTGTTTAAACATCTTAAATCAATCTTGTTTTATAGTAGATACCATTATTCATTCATAAAATTTTGGAATATTTTGAACATCGGAATAAAAGAAATATATCTATAAAGAATTTGAGAATGAATGCACATTAAAAATTAGGTTAGACAAATTTAATTGTCTTTCAAAGTACATACCAAGTGTAGTGTAGAGGAATCCAAATATAAACGATAATGTTGCGAGAAGAGCCATTATTTATAAAGGAGTTACTCGTGATACACTATTATTATTTGCTTTTTATTGTGAAAAACTTCCGTGTTTGTGTACCCTAATCTTCGACAATGTTTATATTTATCGCCGTTAAATTTTTTGTTAAAAAATAGATGGTATTGTACATTACGATATCTTTAAAACGCATGCTTGAATAATGTACAAAGGCGATAAAATTTTAATTTTGTAAAACATTTATGTCCTGGTATGGAGGCTCGTGGCAAAGATTAAAGTTGGTAAATGCAAGTCAAACATCAATGTCTAGAGAAAAGAAATGTTGTTATCAAAAGAATTTATGGTAAAGAATACAACTCTGAGATATGAAAGATCTTAACGAAACTGCTTTTAAAAATTATGTTCAAGGTTATAAATTTTCAAATGTAGGTCAAAATCCAAGGTCAAGGCTTAAAGGTCAAATTGAATGTTTCTTATACTATGAATTCTAACAAGGTTTTTGGAAACGTAAAAAATTGATTTTACACCAAATATACTAAACAAGGTTAATGGAAATATGGATGAAATGAACAGTAATCTGTTTTGAATATTTTAAAATCGTTTTTTTTTTAAACAGAATATAGGATATGTAAGCAGAGAAAACAATGTACTGTCTGTTTTGTTGTAGAGTTAGAAAGTATAGCAAATGTTAATTAAATACAGAAATTTTCGGGAAAAAAATATCAAACTACTTTAATTTTTTTTGGAATATTCTTGCATTCTGATCATGTTTCTATATGTTTTATACTGTGTTCACATTATGAACAAAATTTAAAAATAGATACTTGTTTTGTTTACTTATACAAAATCTTATTCACAAAGTGAATGCGATTGGGCAGCAGGCTAAAATTTTAACGGTGTCCATAACTTTTGAGTGGGTGGGGCTATGGCTTTAGTATTTCACAAGTGCATGTATTCCTTGTGACAATACCTTTCTTCTGGTTCAACCAAATTTGACCTCTTAACCTTTCCTACCCCTTATTTGTCCAGGAGTCTGCTTTTTCTTGATAATATTTTCTTTTTATTTATTTTATCTATGATAATGATCAATATTTGTTATTTTCACCATTTAAATCTGTTGAGTATGAAATGAATCTGACATTGAAAATCGGCGTTTTAATTAAATGCATTAAAAGACACAATAAATAATGAGTCAATATAAAATTATCCTTTTGGTGCACATAATATGTAATTGTCAGAGCATTGGTTTCTCTCGTCTTTCTTGTTTCAAGATGCGTTAGAATAATAGGCGTTTAAATCTGGAAGAAAAAAATCAGAAGGAGTAAGTTTTCTGCTCAATGCAGCTGAGAATTATCAAAGACTGTGAAAAAACAAAATGATCACGTAAATTGTTTTCCTACTTTAAAGGTGCATGGACACAGATTTGAAGTTAATATTTTCTCTATAACATCACGCCATACTCAGTATATATTTTTTGTGTTAAATGCTCTTAAAATATATAATTTGCAATATTATACAGAAAAAATTAACTTCAAATCTGTGTCCGTGCACCTTTATATTCATTAGGTAAGGTCATACTTTTATCGATGTTAATATATTGAGAAAATATTAACATTGTTGAGTACTGTATTAATCTACTGACTACATACCATCAGACCCTTTTTCTTCTTTTCTTGGGTTTGTTTCCTCCAGTTCAATGTATGTTTTGATATTACCTTTACTCTTGATTTCTTCATACTCATTACGTCTAAAATTGAAAATAATTCATAAAATTTTTTTGTAATTAAATGATGGAAAAAATAAAATAATTGCTGAACATTATATAATAGCTAAATACTTACGGTTCCAAATTGGCAGTCACATCTACAAGAGAAAAAGAAAGTAAGAACAGCAATACATTTAAAAATGTTATAGTAACATGCATTGTGCAAATTCAATAATACAGATAATATGTACTTTTGATATTACATTGTTTTATTCGGCTTTTTTAAAATATTATAGTTTTATATCGTCAATTTGAATGTTATAATTTTATATCATCATTCTGAATGTTATAGTTTTAATCTGAATATTATAAGTAGACTATGATTGTATAAAATATACCTTTTGATATAACGTGGTACTGATGGGCCTCTACCATGTCATTTTGGGTTTCATGCTTTCTTTGTCCACTGAAATATTACAAAGAAAATCTGCTCTAGTTTCATTGTATTTACTCCATGTCGTGATAATAACACTAGAAAAGATAACGATACATTTGACTATAGAAAATGTTAACTAACCTTGACGTTTTCAGAGTTCTTTTTTCTGCAAACAAAGATAAGTCTTATTATTATATACCTAATGTGTATCACCCACTTTTACTGTTGAATTTGCGCTATCACGTGACGTCGTGATCCGATTTTCCGGATCAACAACATGTTGTTTTCTGAATCCATATCACCACTCTCTGAAACTGATGACGTAGTACGCAGAAAAATGACGTTATTCTTCTTGCGCGTTAAAAAGTCCCTTGTTATTTTGCTTTGTTTTATGGAAAAATGTTATGCAATTGATCTCTAAAGTTTTCTTTTGCTATATTTTGCTAGTTGTGAGGGGGTATATAATAAATTTATCATTATAACAGTAACTTGATCCGAAGAGCCGTATCACGTCTCGTTGACAGGCGCGGATCATCAGATCAAACTCGACGCTTCGCGTCTCGTTGAGATCTAATGATCCGCGCCGGTCAACTCGACGTAACCCTTCGGATCAAGTTACTGTTATAATAATATATATGTATTGAAAATAGTTATACCAATGTAACAAAAACCTTCAATGTTTTATGATACGATTTAATTAACGTATCGCCAGCTGTCAATCACAACAAATTTTCAACCAATGAAATAATTTTGTTTATTTGCGCGATCAGAAAATACTTGCTCCGCCATATGCTCCGACAAACACTCGCAGTGAGCTAAGCAGTCGACAGTGAAGAAATTGAACAGATGAGTCCATTATCGTTAAGAGATTCAGTTTGGAAATGTGTAACACTGACGATAGGTATCCCGAAAGGGAATCATTGATGTTTTGGGACCGCGATGATTCGGGACGCCGATGTTTAGGGACCTGACACCACGTTTCGGGTCGATCGGGACTTCTAAATATTTTGGTCAGGAAATGAAATAAAACTTGTTTACTTGTTTTTTCATGTTTATAAATACATTTATACTTTCTTAGATTGATAAAGATACACAAAAAATTGAGTGTAAATTAATGATAAATCTATGCACAGTATCATACATAGGTGCTCGGTGACATCCCCCCTTTTCAATACCGGTATTAAAAAATTCTGATTCTTCTTTCCTCATTTCCAATCTCTGACAACTTAATCTATATGTTTCTACTTGAAAATCACGGAAATATATCAATCATATGCAACTTATATTCAGCCGTTTCACGTTTAACATGACTTTTTTTAATATTGAAAGGGAGTGCTTCGATCTTTTTAAATATAACATGCATGTACATATGCATAAGAATATATCTAAACGTCATCAGTTCACAACACTTCTACATATTTTACCTTCAAAATTATTGTCAAAATACGTACACATTTATTTTAAAAGATAACTATAAGCTTTTTGAGATAGTAATTTCAGTTATCGTGTTTATTATATTGTCGACTCGTGTCTGATAGTTACTAGGCTATATCGTTTTTTTACCAGTTTTTGTTCAATATGCATGATTATGTGTATTAACTTTTATTTTCTCGCATTTAAAAAAAAATAAATTAGATTTAATCCAATAAAATGATTCTATCTTATCACTAAAATTAACTTTTAATGCCCCCATTACAAATGTATAGTATTTATTTATGGAGAACACCGTCATACATTGGAAAAATGTCGAAATTATTGATAAAAATTTAATGACTTCATTTATTTTCATTATAAAGAAATGTCATTACCGGTATTATATTCAATATCTAAAAAAAAGCAAGATTCTATATATGATTTAAGGAATTAGTCCGAATGAAATAAGGAGGATATTTATAAATACAATTGTAAAATTGTACTATACAGTGTATACTATGGTTGTCCCAGAAAAACGTGAACTTTGTATATATATTAGATTTGAAATATATTTCTGGCTACAATCTAAATCTTCACCGTGTACCTACTGCTATCTAGAACGTGTGCACATTTTTCACCAGAACTTAAAAATAAAGAAGAAAAAATTCTCCATAAAAAAATAGAACCAACTTACAGATTAACTGTGACAAACGAGCTGCTTCTGTTTTTCCAAAGTCGAAATTTCCGGAGAATTTTTTGGGACGACCATTTAATTCTGGAATGGGGGTGCGAATTTTTCCGAGTCAGATTATTAATTTTCCTGTCGGTGAAGGACGGATTATTTATTTCCAATGGCAGATTAATTATTTATTATCCTCTTCTTTTATGAAATTCTAACAAGCAAAAAAAGATAAAGAAATAGAATTTAAAAAAACATCGTCGACAACCCTTATTCGTGGGATGGGGTGGGGGTAGATTATTTATTTCCTTCCAGTAGAGGACGGATTATTTATTTCCAAAATGACTCAACTCCTTTTCGGCTAGCCCCCCGCCCCTCCCTTCAGAATCAAATGATCGTACTCAAAGTCTAAGAAACTAAAAGCAAGTCTTGACAATGTCGTGTGGGTCCTGTATTATTGCACATTTATTACATCGCAAATTGAATTAAAGGCCTTTGCTGTAATTTATAATTTACCTAGCTTTGCAGTCGTAATAAGTTTCTGTAATTTACTTAATTTTACTTTTCTTCCTTCGTCGACAGTTTACAGTATGAGGGAACTCGGACTTTCTCACACTTCGATAACTTTCTCGACAGGGATAATACGGAATTTTAAGTGAATGAATATATAAATATATATACCCATTGTAAAAGCATTTGTTCCTTGTTTGTGTCTCAAAGTGGGCTCAATAATCAGAAACTTCGGACAAGTCAACCGGCGTCGACTTACTCGCCATGTTGATGATGTCGGAGCAT